TATATGTGTGTGTACTGTGTATATTTATATTGTATATGTAAACACACACACATACAATACATATTTTGAAAATATTTACATGTATATATTTATATTCATATCATTTATATTATATATAAATATATTTAATATACAAACATAACACATTTTTCTGAAATATATACATGTATGTGTGTGTATTTATATATAAATAATAAATATACACAGTACACACACATATATTATGTAAGCAAAAACTTTTATTTTGGATGCGATTAATCGCGATTAATCGTTTGACAGAACAAATATTTACTGTTTTTTTTTTTTGTAAACCTTTCTGGGTATAACTGAACAGATATTTTTATATTGACTTATTTATTTAGAACATTGCACTTTCCATTGCATTTCTACATAAAAGGTGTTATTAAATACTCTTTTTTTTTTTTTTTAGAAACTTGAGTTCAGCTGGTCCAGATGGACGTAAAGCCATGCGAGACTGTGAGGGTCTCATTGAGTGCATCATCTATTATATCCGTGGTAGCATTGCAGACTACAAACCTGATGATAAGGTAAATAGCTACTCACATTAAATCCCCATATTTATTAACAGCAACAGTAAGTCTTTCATTTGTGTCTATACAGTATAATAATTAAAGGAGTCAGAAATTTTCCTTGATCTTTGAAGATAAAAGACCTTGATGTTCCTGTACTATGAAAAGGTTTAGATTTCATAACACAAAATGTCCTCCCCAGTGGGGGTTCAGCCTCTCAGCCTATTTGAGGTAGTAAGGAGAAAGCCAGATATTATGTTTTGTGTAATGTTATATTGTCTAATATGATCCGGAGTGATTATTCCAACTGGTGAACAATTTATAATAATTTTAATTATTAATTCTTTCTTTCCAGGCCACAGAAAACTGTGTGTGCATCCTGCACAATCTTTCTTATCGATTTGATTGGGAGTTGCCTCGTGTGGATTCCCCAGTGGTACATCAGCCCAAACAAAATCACAATGCAGAAACTAGCAACCCTGGCTGTTTCATCCTCAACAGTCCCAAAAACTCTGAGGAGGTTAGTTTTGGAGAAGTTTAGCAATGCATCACCAATAGATTTGGAGAAATTCAACATTACTTGTTCACCAATGGATCCTCTGGAATGAATAGATGCCATCAGAATGAGAGTCCAAACAGTTCATTAGAAAAACATTACAATAGTCCACAAGTAATTCACAAGGGTCTTGTGAAGTGAAAATCTGCTTGTTTGTAAGAATCAAATCCATCATTACGGCATTTTAAATTTAAACCAATGTTTTGAGTCCATAATCCATAATAACACTTCCTCCAGTGAAAGAGTCCATCTCTTGTTGTTCTCTCACATCACAATACGTACATCTACAACTGTTTTAGCTTGTAAATGTGCTTGATCTGCACATATTTCTCTCCTGATTAAGACGAGATGACTATAAAATATTATGAATAGAGGACTTTTAGCTGGAAGCAACGGTAAAAACGTCTTAATGATGGATTTGTTTGTCACAAACATGCAGCTTTTTGCTTCACATGTCATTTATCAATGGACTGGAGTCGGGTGAATTACTTGTGGATTATTGTGTTGTTGTTTTTATCAGTTGTTTGCACTGTTGTTTTACTCTGACGGCACCCATTCACTGCAGAGGCTCCATTGATGAGCAAGTGATGTAATGCTGAATTTCTCCAAATCTGTACCAATGACGAAACAAACTCATCTTGGATGACTTGACAGTGAATGAATTTTAAGCAATTTTTTCATTTTTGGGTAAACTATTCCTTTAAAATCTTTTGAAATATATTAATGTCTTCTAACTAGAATGACTGATGTAATGAAAATGTATGACTTGACTTTTTTCTGTTGAGTATTCGAACTGACCAAAATCTCTAATGCAAATGTAGTGGCGTCAAACACAAATTGACCTCATATGTGGCATCATATGTTGTGACTCACCTCAGGCTCAGGAAGCGGATGAAGACTATCCCTTACTTGAGGAGAACGGCAGCCCTCAGGGTGTAGAGTGGCTCTGGAGCGCCATCACCATCCGCATGTATCTCTCTCTCATTGCTGTCAGCACAAACCAGCACACAAAGGAGGCATCCATTGGAGCGCTGCAGAACCTCACAGCTTGCTCTGGAAAGGTATGATCTAGAAATGAATCTCAATAAAATAACTATAAGCAGCACTGACTTCAAATCACATTCAGGCTTATATTAATGTCTTTTATCTCCATTAGACATCCCAAGCCATCGCACACTTCATTGTGCAAAAAGAGGGAGGCCTATCTCAGGTGAAGAAGATGCTACAAGAAGGAGAGAAGGAAGAGATCAGAATATCTGTGTCACTGCTAAAAAACATCTCTCATTACCGAGAACTGCATGCAGATATTGGTGAGATGCCATTATGTAACAATATGCACAATAACAGCACATGGCTGTGTCAGGCAGAAGGGTGAATAAACAAATGGTTTATGAACATCTCTACAGTTAAACAGGTGTTACCGGAGCTGGTTGCCATCCTGCCAAACTCTGACCGAAGCGTTGAGCAGCCTGTACAGGTCACAGTGACGATCTGTCACATTCTCATCAATCTGAGCCATGCATCTGTATCGAACACCTGTGCCATCATAAACCAAGGAGCGTTACCCAAGATCATCAGCATCAGCACTAAAGACAACGGGTACGGTTTCATTTACAGGAAAGCCAGACTTTCAGTTATGGGATGTATAATAAAACTCACAATAAAAGTCATTTATGTGATTTATTTAATTCATAGTTTTAATTCTCAACTAAATCTAGGTTTGGACCCACACGCGCGGGCCAGGCGGCTTGTATTTTACTTCATACCCTATGGAGGCATTCAGAGCTGCATAGCGGTTTCAAAAAGGTGAAATGTTTGCATCCTACAGTTATAAAGGGTTAAAGGGTTATTACTTACAATTAATAACAAATAAATAATCAAGCAGTGCATTCTAACCAATAGTCAAAGAAGAAGATCAATTTAGGGCAGCTACTCAACATATTAACAGTGTTTACAATGAAAAAATGAATGCAGTTAACTGTTGGAAGGCATAAAACTAATAGAACAAAATGTAGTAGTTAGTGTACATGTACATCGATTGTGGCACTAATGCAGTGAAGCAAATTTGTGTCATTTCACATCATTTCCTGATCTCATTATTCTGCCTCACCTTGTCCTCGTCTATTTATGCCTCACGCCCTCTCTCTCCCATCAATAAAAAAGGCAAAAATGCCAACACTTATGTGAGAAATGGTCAGAAAGATACAAAGATTTACTAATATTAGAAAACATTTAAACACAATAACATTTTTAATTTATATTTTAAAAATGTATATGTACATATGTGTGTGTGTAATATTGTATTCTATTTATTACATTTTTTTTACTCAAGTTCTAACCAATAAAATATTTTAGAGATTGGTGTAATATATATATATATATATATCCATTATTTAAAAAAAAAAAAAACTATTATCAACACCTATATGGTGTTTTATCATTGTATTAATTTGCATGACTAACTCATATATCTCAGTTCTCAAGACCATTGGAACCCTGGTTCTTCATAGAGATGAGGGAATGTATTAAATTAAGAAATATCTTGCTTTTAATTTTTAGTTGTTTCAGCTTATTTTAAATCATTTCAAGTCATCCTTTGGCTTCCTTGGAAGTTTGTGGCCTCCTGGTTGAGAACTACTGATCTAGAGAACTAATTCACATGTTTCAGATCTGGCTTTCACTGCATGTATATTTACACTTGTCATCTGTTTCTTTAATCTACGGCAGGCTGGTTACAGGAAAACCGACTTCATAAACAACAGGACAGTGAAGGTTGTGAATTCAGTTCGTGATTAATGGGATCCAGAAATCTACTGCATTGAACAAGGCTTTTCACCTGCTTTTTTAGGAAATATAAAAAAATGGTGCTAATAACATGGCTTTGGTGTGTGTTTGTATATGTGCTTTGTCTTAATTTAATACTTAATAGTTTTCAATGTGTTTTAATTAAATGATAATAGTAATGTCTGTCAATTTTTATTTATTTTTTACTGACCTTTTTAAGATTTGTACTGCCTTTGGTCTGTTTACATAGCGATATTAAAAGCATTTTCATCAACAAAGCTATTTATTTGTGTATTTGTTTTTATTTTGCAGTGGGTAAAGCCACTTCCAAGCCTTGTATAGTAAAACAGTGTCTTAGTTATTTATTTTATTATTTTCAGATAAATGATCATATTTCTCCAGTCACTGAGGGGTTAATGTCTGTTTGTTTAGTTACCATGGTTCTGTTTGAATACAGCCTGCCCTCAACGCTCTAGTAAACACGGTGTGTTCAAGCATAAAGCATTAATTTAAAAAAACTCAAAAGAATTTGGCGTTATGCCTTGCTACTCGTGATGATTTCTGTCATTTGAGAATCACGCTAAAAGTTCAGGAAGTGATTTGAATTATTTTGAATAATAACAAATCATAATCCTCGATGGGAGGGATTAAACGAAAGATCGAATTCGCTTTACCTTATCGACAGAATCAGAACTCAATCAAAACGTTCGAATAAAACTGACACATGCATTCGTCGACAATAAATTAATAATGTTTTACGCTTTGTTACTTTGTACAGTAGCTCGCTTTGTCCACAGAGCATTTTTAATGTATTTTTACGTCACATCCGTAAACAAAGAAGCTCATGCGAGCTGGACTGTGCCGTTATGTTTCTAGGGGGTGCGCGCCAATCCTATACATGCGATATTGTCGATATTTTTGTTGTTTTATTTTAAAACAACCGTCTCGTGCTTATTTAGTCTTTGTAATGTCTATTTCCCACAGGTATGTATTAATTTCTCTTAATAGCTTTAATTCATATACCAAAGACAAAATATCGAAACCCCTATAGGTGCAGAATAATAGATTCTCCCAGTTTCACAAAACACTACAAGACAAGTGATATTTTAAAGAGCCATTTAAAGCCCTAGTGTACTAAGGAAGGAGTATCAATACATTTTACCTGCAAATCGAGGAAAAACTCGGTTGTCCACTCTTTGCCAAGTCCTCACAATCGGGGACTTGACTCAGGTAATTGTTACATAGTTTTATTCGTTTAGAGTTTATATATATATATATATATGATAATTATTTGCAAATTAAAGGAGCTGGACAACGGTTATGTTTACATCACATCACGTTACGTATTTGCGTTGTTCGCTTTATTAAATGTGCAAACGCGCGCTCGCTGCCTTGTTTATTAAGTTGGCTTGAAAAAGCCAACTTACTGATATTCTATTTAAGCGTCTTCTTCTTCTTCTTCTTCTTATTATTATTATTATTATTATGACTAAATTTGTGAACGCTACTGCTCCTAGAGCTTTCCAGCTAGAACCACCTGACCAAACTCAATCCAGCTCTTCAGACTGTTCTGACTCGGGTTGCTGTATCTTTTCAGACTGATCGGATTTACGGTTTTCTTTAAAATGAGGATTAAAAATAATAAAAATCCCACAGATTTACATTGACGGAATGTTCAAATGAGCCAAGACTATTCAAACTCCAACTGTCAAAAATGTAAATCTAAACACACTGAGGCCCCATTTAAACTCTTTTAAGATTCCACTCTATCTCATATTTCTAATCTATCTATCTAGCTGGTTGGCTGCTTCCAGGCTGGTTTTAATGTGGTTTTGGCACCTTTTTAGCTGGTCAGGCTGGTCAAGCTGGGAGACCTGCTAAAAGACCAACCAAGTTTAAAACACCTACTTTCAGCTTAAACCAGCTAAGACTAGACATCTAGCCTAGGCTGGTTTTAAGCTGGTTTTTGACTGGTTCAGCTGGATTTAACTGGTTTTAACTGGTTTTTAGCTGGCTTTTTTGCTAAATCAGCTGGTTTTAGCTGATTTCAACTGGTCTATAGCTGGTTTTTTATTGAATCAGCTGGTTTTACCTTGTTTTTAGCAATAACGTGCTAATCATGCTAGCAAACATGCTAGTAACATGCTATTCATGCTAGAAACATGCTAATAACATGCCAATTATGCTAAAAATGCTACAAACATGCTAATAAAATGCTAACCATGTTAGCAACATGCTAGTCATGCTAGAAACATGCTAATAACTAGTTAATCATGCTAGCAACGTACTAGTAACATGTTAATCATGTTAGCAACATGGTAATCATGCTAGAAACATGTTAGTAACTTGCTAATCATGGTAGCAACATGATAGTAACATGCTAATCATACTAGAAACATGCTAGTAACATGTTAATTATGCTAGCAACATGCTAATAATGCTAAAAACATGTTATCAACATGCTAGTCATGCTAGAAACACCCTAGCAACCACCCCAGGTACCCTAGCAATATGCTTCATACCTATCTGTTTTTCTGATAGACCGCATTGCCATGAAAACATTCAAACTTGAATCTTTAAAACTATTTTAAATGTCAAACTACTTCAAACCTAAAACCTTCAGACTGCAAGCTTTTAAAACTTTCTGGCATGGCTTTTTCAAGCCAACTTAAAGATTGTCTACAAACTTTTCAATCTAGTTAATATTTATTTCACATACAAACCATAAAGTGACTGTTTACTGATTCCACGTTGCTAATCTTTAAATGGGTTGGGGTTTGCATGATCTGGAAAGTCCAGTTCGGCTGCTCTTCTGCTTTGACAGTTTGCTCGTGTTTTGTCCTTGTTTGTGTGCTAAAGATAAGGTAACGTGTGCAGAGCAGCTGAGCGTGTGTGTGTTACAGCACCTCCTTTTAGGGCCCAGAGCAGCACGAGCTGTAAACGGTGCCAGTGGTGCTGTCATCGGTCTCTCCTAATTTAAACCTGACTGAGGATGTGCATGTGCATGGCTTTCTGTTTTTACCACGAGAACTACTGAACCGGTCTAATATGAGAAGAGGTCGCAGTGCTTTACCCCCTATGCTCAAAATAGATACTCTCTTTTGGGAGTAACAAGAATGGAAGAGCTTGAACATGTTATGTCACTGGTCTTTCTTTTGTAACCAGGCTCCAAATACTGGAAGTACTGGTATCTGTGTTAATTGCTATAGACTTAAGACAACTACAGCACTTGAACAAGTTGAGGTATACAGTTCATATGAGTGACATTATTGTTTTACAAATTATAATAACACTAAATATAATGTAGAATAAATAAAGCCAAATGTGTGTGGTTGACCAAATTATAGTGACTTTATTATTAAGGGGCAAAATGATCTTAAAGGGACAGAAAAAAAAAAGATTCACCCAAAAATGATCATTTATTATGATTCATTTATACTGAAACGTGTTCTTTTTTGTACTATTTTATATTATTATAGTACTTATTAACATTTTGGATTCATTTTTAAATTGTCAGTTTCTAAACTATTTTAGTTTAAGTTTTAGTAGTTTTCCTATGTGCTTTTGCCTTTTCTGTTATTTTTGAAATATTTTTTATTTAACTTACTGTATATTTACTTTAGTTTTAGTTGTAAGATGTCAACATATTCCCAAGAGTTTTTCATCTGATACTTATATCTTATTTCATTTCAGCTTTATTTAAAGACAACATTTTAAAAATAGTTTTAGTTATCAACAACAAAATTCTGACCCTCATGTTGTTCCAAACCAGAATGACTTCTTTTTTCTTCAGTGGAACGCAAAAGGAGACTTTAAATCATTTTTTCCGTACAATCAAAGTAAATAGTGTCTGAGATTGTGTTCCACAGAAGTAAGAAACTCGTACAGGTTTGGAACGACATGAGGAAATGATGGTAGAATTTACATTTTAGGTTGAACTATTCCTTTAACTCTCAGAATTGGCAGAGAATCAATGCAATTTCAAATTCTTGTTGTTTTACAGTAGCACTGGGAGACAAATTTGGTATTTCTATTGTAACAGATTAATCCACATTAATCCACATGAGCAATAGATAAACCTGTAATTACAAGACACTTAAACAAGCAGTTTTGTCAGAGCATTAAGAATAATAGAAAGGATTAATGTCTTACTTAGTATCTGAATGTATTTTTATTAATTAATGAAGGTCATTGTTGACTTTTTGTTACTGAGGCAGACTCAACGTCCTAAAAAGACAAGCAGTTACTCTGTTGCATTAGGAAACAGGTGTGTAGTGAAGCCTATAAAGGCAAAGGGGTGTAACGAGATAGGTTTGCTTTTAAAGATCACACAGCTATCCGGCGTTATCTGTTACCCAAGAGACAGCACCGGTCAACGTCTGAATCACATTTAAAATACAATGTCTCTTTGTGGGCCACATGAACATCACTGAGCCCTTTTGTTGCCCATTTATCTTCCCTTGCCTTTGCAAGTCACTTTTCTTTGTTATGTCAACGAAGCTTTATATCCTTGTGGAATTTTCCAGCACTGAAAGTTTGCCAGATAAAACTTTATCCAATTGCCATATAAGTCATTGCCCCATTTCCACTAAAAGCATCAGCTTCAAGTTTGTCTTAAAAAAAAAAGCCTTCATTTTAGCCACAAAATCTTTCTTAGTACCTTTTTACTTAATTTGCAGCAGCCCCTCACGATGCCACTGAACGGTGAACGTCCCACCTCCACCTCTACGGTGGCCAGCGAGGACAAGAACAGTGACACAGAGTCATCGGAAAGGTGCGACAGTTTGACCTGGTCTAGCGATGTGGACTGTTCTCGCCAGAGCTTCACCAGCGATTCGTCCAGCAAACACAACTCTCCTTCTTGTAGGTTTCCTACTAACATTCAAATGGCAAAAAAAGTATTTGTGTTTATTTATTTTCAGTAGATTCATAACAGAAATAGTTTAGCATTTATTCTGTTAGAATGTACTATCTATACTATGTATATCTAAACTAGTGCTATTTAATATTATTTATATACAATTGTAGTATTTATTAATAGTTCAAATTAGCTCTTATTTTTATATTTTTAGTTTGTTGTTTTAATTTTAGTATTTTTTTTATTATTTATATACAATTGTATTAATTAATCGTTCAAACTAGCTTTTATTTTTATATTTTTAGTTTATAATTTTAGTTTTAGTAATTTTATGTGCTTTTGTCTTTTTCATTAGTTTTAATTAATTTTATTGATTATTTAGCTTTAATTTATTTTTATTTCAGTTTTAGCAATTTAGTACGTCAACTTATTTTAATGCAGTATGTCTATTTTTTGTTTTTCTAATATTTTAGTTTAGTTTAGGTTTTTCAGTTAACAAAAAGTTGTTGTTGTTGTTTTTATTGGATAAATGTCTATTGATCTTTTAACCTGTATTGCCGCTGTGTCCTCAGGCAGCCCACCAAAAACCCTAACGCTTGATGAGGTCATGGCCTCGGCTCGGGACCTTTCTAATCTGAGCCTGGCTCATGAGATCGTTGTTAACCGGAACTTCCACCTAGAGCCGCCGGATCTACCCCAAAATAGGTACTAAACTTGTTATATAATTACCATTTACCATCTCCAGATCTGGGCCCCACTTGATGTTCAGTTTGCTTGGTAACTGTTCATAATTATATACATGGGACAAGAACAAGTTAAGGTTGATGGTTATGAAAACATACACAAATTTATACAATATGTTGTATAGTCAATAGTCATAAACATATTGATGTATAGTCAATATGTTTATGCATTTTGCATATATATATATATATATATACACATATTCAATATAGAACAATTGAATCCAAGCATTTTTTTTCCTTAAAGCCTGGAGAAGAGGGTTAAAGAAATGGTGCGCAAGGCCTTCTGGGACTGTCTTGAAACCGAGCTGAATGATGACCCTTCTGAGTATGATTACGCCATCAAACTTCTGGAAGAGATCAGAGATGTAAGTTACATATTTACTTTGATACAATGATGAAAAGCAGTCTGATGGCAAGTGACTTCTTAATCACTTTTGTCCCATCATCAAAGATCCTGCTGTCCTTCCTGAACCCCGGGGCCAATCGCTTGCGTACTCAGATCATGGAGGTTCTGGACATGGACCTGATCCGCCAGCAGGCTGATAACAATGCGGTTGACATCCAGGGCCTTTTGTCTTACATCATCAATACTATGGGCAAGTTCTGTGCACCGGTCCGAGACGATGAAATCAAGAAGCTCAAGGAGAACTCAGGCGACTTAGTGACACTGTTCAAGTATGTTATTAAGGTGTCTTCTTGTATAGCTTTGTAGAACTAGCTAGGTCAGTTTCACTTCAGAGCTCACTGGCTGGTGTAATAACTTACAAATAGTGCATCCCATTCTCATTCAAATTTGTGCATGAAATCTGTGTACAGGTATATACAATTTCTTGAACAAATTCATGAATCACCAATTACTTTTATACTAAAATTTGTTCTTAATTTATGAAAAAAGAAAAAAAAATGTAGGAGCAACCGAAACCACACATATGCAAAAATCTAATATTTTGGGTGGCCTTACAACTATGTCATTATAGTATCATTGAGATACTATTATAGTTTGTATTAATTTGAATGAGTATTTATTTATTTATTGTTTTTATTTTAATAAAAACATTTGATTAAATATTTTATTTAAATTATTTTGTTGAATGTTTTTTGTCACTTTTAGTAGTTTTGGGTCATATATATATATATATATATATATATATATATATACATAGTTTTTATTTCAGTTTTAGTTTTGTTATCTTAGGATCAAGTTAAACTAAATTAAAATGAGAAATGTTTCCATAAGATGAAATAGTTTTTTAAATTCTATTTCAATCAAAGTGTACTTCAAGCAATGAATATGGTTTTCAGTTTTTAATTTCATATTTATATGGTTTTCATTTTAGCTTTAGTCTTAGTTAACTATAATAACCCTGTCTATAACAATGTTATAATTACATTTTATTCATAGATATATCATTTTTATATATTTATACATAGATTAAATATATTAGAAGATATAGATGTTTGTACATAAGCATGGGTTGTGAATTAATAATTAATAATGTTTTAATAGTAACTAAGTAACTAAGGGAGATATGGGGCACAAATCAGTAATGATGTTGTCCTCACTAACAGCCATATTTTATGTGAACATTCACCTGAGGCAAAGTAACTGACTCGTAAATGATCACTTGTGTCATAACAGGGAAATCTTCCGGGTGCTGGACCTGATGAAAATGGACATGGTGAATTTTACCATCCAGAGCCTCAGGCCAGAGCTTCAGAGGCAGTCGGTAGAGTATGAGAGAGCCAAATTCCAAAGCATTCTGGAAAGAACTCCCAGTGAGTCTACAAATAAAACAATTGACAATTATTTTAAATAAAATGATTGCATTTAAAAGGATCAGCCATTTTCACCACAAAAAATAACATTTTGTCGTTATTGATCAACCTTTTGTCATTCCAGAACCATGTGGCTTTTTTTTTCCTGTGAAACACAAAAGATGCTTTGAAGATGTTTTGACTGTTTTTGTCTGTACAGTGAAAGTCAATGGGGTCCACAACAAAATTGGACATCATTGACTTTCATTGTACGGTCAAAAAGAAAAAAAAAACACTGAGAAATTAAAAAAAATATCTCAACAAAATAAATTAAGGTTTAGATCGACATGAGTAAAAACTATTTAAATTATTTCAACTATTATTAGTTTAACTATTATTAACTACTATTATATTATATTATCCCACTGTATATATATATATATATATATATAGTTAAATATGATTAAATTAAAACTAAATTAAATTATTTAAAACTATTTAAATTAACTATTTAAACGGTCCCATTTAAAGGGATAGTTCACTCAATCTGGACTCCTTTGCACACCTGGGCAACATCATTTTAATTCACCCAGGTGCTTTGGACCACACAACTGAGTGGATCAAATCTTCAATAGAGGAGGCCACTCGAGTCATGCCACCAGCAGACAAGAGCAGCGATTCTGGGCAGAGCGGCAAACCCTTACCAGGCCCCACGCTGGTGCTAAATACAGCCTACATCAGACTGCTCACCTGGGACGAGAGCAAGGGCCCATTACCTGAGGTTGGAGAACAAACAGTTATTTTCAGTCATACTGAGCATTGATATCAAATTCAAAATGCCTCTTTAAGAGTGCTTTATGATCTAACACTTGCAGACCGTGATGACGGATGAAGTGAGGTTGCAGGAGATGCAGCGGTCTCTTCAGCTCTATCAAGCGGGCGCGTCTGTTCTGCTGATAGTCTATAGCTCAATAGGAGGGGCCGTGTCAGGCCTGCCCGCTCTTGTCGAGAGACTTAAGAAGATGACAGCAGTGCTGCTGGAGGGCATGCATAGCGCGTATGTCCCGTCCCTTTCCTTCCCCTAAACTCTGCTCAGGCTTACACATGCACACGTCACACACATACTTCTGCATAAACGCAATAATGAATGTCTCAATCTAAAAGATCTTGCCTGTTGCCCCCCCTCGTTTGGCTTACAGAGACTTTAATCTCACTGAAGCTCTTGGAAACGTCAGTGCTCAGATCTGCTGTGAAGTCAACAAGTCTCTGGCTGAAAGAAACTTCCCAGCTCTGCCGGCTGAACTGCAGGAAACTTTAAAGGGCCAGATTTGTGACATCACCCAGGAAAACAACCCAATACGCACTCTTGTTGGTAAGGAAAAATGTAAAGGAATATTCGAGTTCCAATCAACAGCACTTGTGTCATTGCAAAAAAAGATTTTCTTATAGTTTTTTGTCCTGTTTACCAGTCAAAATATCTAAACAAACATAATTAAAATCAAGAAACATTTATGTGAGAAGCAAAGTGTAACAAAGTTCATAAGTCGGGAAGAAGGAGGCAGGAACCGGCGAACATTTAAACAAACTTTAATAATAAAATAAACTCAAAATAGCGCGACAGCCCCTCGCGGACGACTGTCGCGCACAAACAAAACCAAAACACAAAATAAAACTCCAGGCCTGGTCCTCTCTCCTCTTTCCCTGTCGTCCCTCCTCCTTTGTATCCTTCCGGAGCTCCTCCGTGAGACTCGAGACCGGTGAGTGGCGCAGGTGTCGCTCATTATCACTTACTCCACCGGCCTCGCTCCGTTCCCACGGCTCTCGGCCCCGCTCCTCTCATCACACAAAGTAGATAATAGTTTATAATACAGAAAATTATATATTATAATAATCTTTTTGCTTAAAACAAGAAAATCTGCCAGTGGAGTAAGAAAAATAAACTTGCATCAGAATTAAATGTTTTTTTTAAATGCATAAAACATAAAACTATCTGCCAATGTAGTAAGAACAATAAACTCATTTTTCCTTTGAGTAAGTTTATTTTCCTTAGCCCATTGATATTTTTTTCTTGTTTCTCGAACATCACTCGAGTCGCTACATTTTTAAGTAACATAATTTAAGAATGTTTAGAAATGTAATTTGTACAAGAAAAGAAGACAAAATACTAAGTAAGAAAATCCCCCCTTTTTGCAACGTAATATTACCTAAAAAATTATTTCAATCTTAAAATGGAAATAAATGGAGCCAAATTTTGGAGGATTTAAAAGCAGAAATGTGAAGCTTATAATTTTATAAAAGCAATTAACTTAATTCTTCTGTTAAAACCAGTGTATTATTTAAGCTATGAAGCTGTTTCAATTTTTTTAAAATTACGTTTTATGTTGTATTCATGTCAACTAAGTTGTAAATTTGCATATAACAGTTAATCAAGCTTTTTTTGATATATTAACAAGCATATTGTTCACATTTTGTGGCTATACTATTAAAACAGTGATATTTTACATTTATATATTGACCCCATTCACATCCATTCTCATTGCCTCACTGTAACACATTTTTTTATTTTATTTAATTATTATTTTTTTAAATGTAGTGGAAATACATTTTTGTGATAACCAACATTATGGCAACAAATGCGGTCAGAGCTGAACTTGTAATATTACCTTAAACCCTGTATCATGTTTTAATCAAGCGGCATCCTTCTGGTCTCTCTTGTGAAACCAACACGGAAGTGACTAAAACTGCAATTCATCGACTGGCCGCTAGAGGCTGGCTCTAAAAGGGAGTCAGTTCCATAGACTCCCCATGTTAAAATGCCCAAGTTTACAGCAGAAAACAATATGTTTTATGTACAAAAGTGGTTTTGGTCTATATAGCTAATTTTGCCCTACATGACAACTGTGAGGGAGCTCCCGCCTCTTTGCCCATTTTCGATTATCCGGGAGTAACGCGGGGTGACGCGCTGCCAAGATGGCGACCAAAAACGCTCTTCAGAAACCTACGGGTGACGTCATGGACACTACGTCCATGTTTTTATACAGTCTATGGTTTTAATGTGCCTTTTGTGTCCCACAGAGGGAAGGGTACAGCAGTACTTTAGGGTGGTCCTCGCCTCTACCAACTCTCACAGGACGCCCCCTCCTGTACCGCCAGGCTTGGGTCTGATTCAGCCGGAGCTCATGGGGCTCGGGGTCAGTTTTGTCAACCTCGTCAACTTCAACAAAAAGGTTTACGGTCCTTTCTACGTGAGCATCCTGAAGAATCTACTTTTCATCGACATGCAAGCACCAACTCCGCAGAATGGGATCATACAGGGGCCACCCAGCAGCCCACTGGAGTCCAAATAAATCAGGATGCATCGTTTACTTGATTCGTTATCATCACCAGACATTTCACTCATGTGTTTCCAAGGGGGGTCTGTTTATTATGTTACAAAGAGACTATGTTCTTTGCCAAGTTATATTTTTATATTTTTAGCATCTCTCTAACTGGTTTTCACTTGACAGTGTTACTGCAATAGAAAAGCAGTCATTACGTACAGTATACCATGACCATGTTTAGGTGCAAGGCAGAAACTTTTCTATATTTACAGTTGTTAAAGACATAGCCAAAATAGGCTAATATATTTACACAGATCATTTACAGTCTATTGAGAAAATGTTATATCCATTTAGAGATACCCATGTTGTTTCCCATGCCCATTTTCTAGATCATAAAACAAGTTTATTGGAGCATATTGAAATCCATCATCGACAAAGTGAAATTATACTATACACATTATTTTGAAAGTATTGTATTACAAATATTAACTGTGTTTATACTTGAAAAAAGGTCTGAATTTCTTATTCTGCATAATTTGAAATGGAAGAAACTTGAAATTATATAAAGTGTCAGAGATATACAGAGATATATAAAGAATCAAGAACTCTGAGAAGATCAAATTGAACAATATTGTTAAATTAATTTGAATTTTTTTGGTCCTGGTAGTGTTCTTTTATACAGTTACGACTGCATGATCATTTGTTGTCCTTTTTTATCCTTTAGACATCAACATCTGGGTTAGTTTTGTATGCTGTTTGTATCATTGTGCTTTGGTTACAGGCATGTTGGTTTTATTACTGTTGTATTTGAAATTTAAGGGCGATTCTCTTATATAATGTTTGTGCTCTTATTCAGTTATGTTAATTGTTTTAACTATAACCTATCCGCATAGATCAAGACCCTTGTTTGGCTGGTGACACACACATAAACACACATGATTTTTGCTGTTGTGTCAAGCGAATGGATGACATCTTTGTGTGGAAAGCCATTGTTTTAACATAACAGACCGTCAGTTTAACAATTTTGCAAATTATGTTTTTAAGATGTAAGAACCCTTGTAAGAACAACAAAATATATGTAGTGTGACAAGCACAAAAAAAAATAATAAAAGAAAGTGTGGAAACTAGTCCATGTTTCTTTTAAACCTGTTTCTGCATTCATCTGGCAGCATTTAAATATTCTTTTGTTACATTTTTAAGAAATAATTGTATTTTTAAAATGTATTTTTATTTAAAATCAGTTACCATTTTACTGGAAGTGGGGAAACTTATATTATAGTTAAATCACAATCTGGTATATAATTTGTTATAGCTCAATTAAACATTTTACGTGCTCTTTACTTCATAATTAAGACTCTTATTTTGCAAGAGTACTACTTCCGGTGTGTTGATGTCATGCTGAGGACATATGAAGCTAGTCGAAGCCTAACGCAGAGCCATACTAGATTTCGGGACTAGTGTCACTGTTATTTACTTTCTTTTCACTATTTCAAAGCTTTAATCATGATGCAATTCATAGTAAGTACTTACATCTGTTCGTGAGATTATTCGCTTGCTAATTCACATTGTAGTTTCATTTGAGCTAAATATAAACATTTACAGCCGGATCGTTTATAATATAGGAGAATGTTTCTATCTGTGATATGATTTTGCTGATCTTTGAGCATCTTTTGTCTTTCCAGCTTGGCTTCACTCTGGGGAACGTGGTTGGCATGTATCTGGCACAGAATTACGAGGTTATAAAAACTATTTATTCTCATATTAACTCTGTGTCTGTCTAAAAACTTATAAACGAATTCTAATAAGACTGGACTAAATGGCATTAGTCTTGAAATAGAGAACAGCTCCATTGTTTAGTGATCATTGTCTGATATAATTTATTTGTTTATAACTTTTTCAAGGTACCCAATATTTCAAAGAAATTCGAGGCCTTTAAGAAGGACGTGGAGGCCAAGAAGAAACCCCCAGAATGATGGACACAAGTCACGTGTGGAAATATGGCAAATTGTAATTAACTGTAGAGGGATATTTAAGAACAAGAATATAATCTAGTATGTGTTAAAGTTTAAACAAAAGAGCCCTCAAGATGCACAGTATATTCCTAGTGTCAAATAGTGCCTCAAAATCAAAATTGTTTTGAAAGTTGATGTGTTCTGCATTTTGCATTGTATTCTCTCTCTCTCTCTCTCTCTCTCTTTTTCGAAATCAGGGTAAATTTGTTTACACCTGATTTTTTTTGCTGTTACATTTCGGATAATTATTCATTCATATATTTTAAAAACTCAATGGGATATTTTAAACAAAAGAGCCCTCAAGATGCACAGTATATTCCTAGTGTCAAATAGTGCCTCAAAATCAAAATTGTTTGAAAGTTGATGTGTTCTGCATTTTGCATTGTATTCTCTCTCTCTCTCTCTCTTTCGAAATCAGGGTAAATTTGTTTACACCTGATTTTTTTTGCTGTTACATTTCGGATAATTATTCATTCGTATATTTTAAAAACTCAATGGGATATATTTTTTTTGGTCAGAAACAGCTTGCAGTGTGATGCAGTTCTTGGGTTTGCTGTATTTATGGAGAAACATATTTGCAGGGCAAATAGAAACTGCACATAATAATCAGATATTCGAAACAAATTACTGCAATGTTTTATAAAGGCTTCTTAATATTATGTAATAAAGTTCTGAGATTATACTAATAAAATGCTTATATTAAGTTGTTGGTTGTCAGTATTGTTATTCTATGTTATTTTCTAGGAATGCTTATTAAATAAATGTCACACTTAATGATAAAATTCTACACATTACATTTTTGTTCATTAAATTTAGATGTGCAACATTCAAATTAAAACTTTACTCTTTTCATGCTATAAAAATACTTTGCTGGATAATAATTTGTCTAAAATATACCAGAGATTCAAGGGGTTGGCATGCTGCTTAAAAAATAATGTGACACCAACTTATACATTATTCATGGAAAATGTCAAAAACATCAACTTCTCATTCTTATATGAAAGTATACATCAGGAAAATTGCTTAAAGAACGGTACAAATGTCACGAATTATATACAGACCCGTTGAAACAATGTAGAAACCTCCACAGGTAAACCAGCGTGTACGATGTTAAGTGTGCTGTTGTAAACATTGACCGGAAGATGGCGCGGTGGACACGGAAGTAAACAACCTTCTCAGTATTCCAAATACAACGGTTGCGCTTCTGTGTACATTTATCAAGGTTATTATGGTTAAAATTATATATGTAAACTACGACATATTACAGTACATATGTTTTTTAAATATAGTCTAATATTTACTACAGTGACTTTTACCATGTCATCACTAGGCACGCAAAAACGCATTAAATGTCTTAAACATGCGTTAATTTTTTTTTTTTACGAACTACTTATTCAAAATAGCAATTCTTTAAAAAAGACATTAATACGAGATTTGTAAAGTTTTTCCGGAAGTCGAAGTGAGTGTTTCCGGTACGCGTGGCCGCTTCTATGACAGCTGGTGAGCGAGACGAGCCAAGATGATTTCCCTCACCGACTCCCAGAGTAAGATTAACATAACCTGTCTCACTGACAGCTCTTCCTCGGACTATGTCTAGCGTTAGTGCTTTCATCGGCAAAGCCTGTTGTCGTTATTATTTCGCCTGTCTTGAGTATTTATGTGTGTGTGGATTCATGCAGCTGCGTACAGATGTCACTCCACCAGTAATAAATCTAGTGTAAAAGTCGTTGGCGGTGAATTACATGACAGGAAATGTTCTGGCTTAAAACCCGCTTTAATGTGGATGGAGAACTGCACCAGACTGACTGCATGAAGACAGAACAGTCCTATACACATAGTTTAATGCATATGATCATCAATAAGAAATGATCATATTAGCAAATAATATCTAACCTTTATGTGGTATTAAATGCTAATTATATATATTGGTTTAATTTAATATTGCTTCAGTTTTATGGCTTTCCCTCTCTCAACAGAAATTGGAATGGGGCTAACAGGATTTGGTGTATTTTTTCTGTTTTTTGGGATGATCCTGTTTTTCGATAAAGCTCTCCTTGCCATAGGAAATGTGAGTCTTCCCATCTTGTCATTGATATATTTGGTTATGCCTTACATATTTATAACGATATGATCATTTTAATTATACTAATCAGAAACAAATATAAACAGTGTATATATTATTTGTTTCTTATCAGAGTAATTACAATATATTAAAAAAAATGTCTCTGTGTGTGTGAACACACACACACACACACACAGTGTATTACATGTTTTATATATATATATATATATAAAATGTAATGTAATATTCTCACTGGTTTAAAAAAAAACAAAATTGCATGCATGTTTGTGCTAGTTTCTGAGCAATTTCTTTCGTATAACTTTGTTGTGAATAGTATTGTTTTGCCACATTTTTACTTTTTCCGTCATATTCTTCATTATGCTCATCTAGATTTTCCTGGTATTAAGTGTTCTCTCATAATAGCTCAAATACAACATTTTTATACCATAATTTGTTATAAACTTATATTATGAGCGCACATAAGCACAGATCCCTCGACCCAAAGGCAGTTTCTATCTCTTACCTCTCTCTTGGTCTTCATTTGTCTCAGATCTTTTTTGTTGTGGGCCTGGCGTTTGTAATTGGGCTGGAGAGGACGTTCAGGTTCTTCTTTCAGAAGCACAAAATGAAAGCCACCAGCTTCTTCCTAGGAGGCATCTTTGTAGTGCTGATCGGATGGCCCATCATTGGAGTGATTCTAGAGTTTTATGGCTTCTTTCTATTATTCAGGTATTTTTTTTAAAGAAATAGGATGCTCTTAACCAGGCAAATTATGCAGCTACATAACTAGTAGCTTTCTAGATGATGCTGATACATTCTGGCTGAAGGTGGATATAGATATTATCTACACTGATACAGATAAACTACACATTTTACAAGTAAATAAGAAAAAATAGAAAATTGAATGAGCACTTGTTTTACACTATAGTAAGTAAAATGGTTATATTATTTAAAAAATAAAATGTACATTATTCTTGAAGTCTGAAGGTTTTGGAACTGAAAAAAAAAAGACTAACATTTCGGATCAATAATCTCAAAATGATCCCGGTAATTCCTAATATCAGTCTATATCTACACTCTAATGCCTTTTCTTCACGTGTAGGGGATTCTTTCCAGTGGTCGTAGGCTTCATCAGGAGAATTCCTGTGCTGGGATACTTGCTGAATCTTCCCTTTATTAGTGGGGTAAGTTTTACCCAGCAGGGTGATGAAGAGGAGAGTGTGAGGTGATCTTTTTCTCCCTCTCTTGGTTTTATTTCCATATAAGGATCCTCTCAGATTGCAGTGAAGATGAAGTAATATTTTTTCCTTAGTTTTTAAAAATACCATCTTAGTCCAAAATAATTCTATTCTTAGTAGAATAGAACTGAATATCTGAAATTACACATATTACTGTTTGAAAAAGAAATATAGTTTTTTTCAGTAAGGATGCGTTAATTAAAAGTGACAGTAAAGACATTTATAATATTACAATATCCTGAAATCATGTCAAATGTCATATTTTTGTGAAAAATATTTTCATAAAAATATTTAGCAGCACTGTTTTATGCATTGGCAACAATAAGAAGTAATAAAGTTTCTTGAGCAGCAAATCAGCATATTCGAATGATTGGTGAAGGATCATGTGACACTGAAGACTGGAGTAATGCTGCTGAAAATTCAGCTTCGCCATCACAGAAATAACTTCTATTTTATAATGCATTTAAAAAAAGAAAATTACTATTTTAAATTGTAACAACCTTTCACGGTATTACTGTTTTACTGTATTTTTGGTCAAATAAATGCTGCCTTGGTGAGCATGAGAGACTACCTTCAAAAACATTAAAAAACCTTACCGAACCCAAACTTTTTGTATGGTATCAACTACATAACCCGAACTGATGATACCACTCAAATAGTGGCTAACACACATTAGGGTTTAGGTGGCCACCTGTTTTCAGGAGGAATGGGCCAAAATACCAGCAACAGTGTGTGACAACCTTGTGAAGACTTACAGAAAACGTTTGACCTCTGTCATTGCCAACAAAGGGTATATAACAAAGTATTGAGATGAAATTTTGTTATTGACCAAATACTTATTTTCCACCATAATTTGCAAATAAATTCTTTAAAAATCCTACAATGTGATTTTCTGGATTTTTTTTTCTCATTTTGTCTCTCATAGTTGAGGTATACCTATGATGAAAATTACAGGCCTCTCTCATCTTTTTAAGTGGGAGAACTTGCACAACTGGTGGCTGACTAAATACTATTTTGCCCCACTGTATATACTCTTTGGTCATTTTTGAGCGAGATGCTAATGCTCTAATCAGATTCAATGATCTATGCTAAGCTCGAAAACGGTAAAACTCAACTGTTTAACTCTAGGGAAGTTGGAAAATGAGCCTATTTTCAAAAATAATGGAGTGTTCCTTTAACACGTCCTAACCAGGCAATATGCAATAAATGACTAATAACAAACATGAAAAGTGTAAATGAGCTACCAAACCACACCTGTTTTCACCTCATGCAAGAAAACAGTCTTGCAAGTGTCTTTCAACGTCTGTTTGTTGTTCTTTTAATGCCTTCCTAAGGCTGAGCGGACAGTCAGTCATCTTGGTCAGTCACTGCTAATTCTGTCTTGCATGCGAGCATGAATCATGCTGTCCTGTGTCCAGTATTTTAAGTGATAAACATGTCATGAATAGGAATATATATTATTGTATTGTTATATCTATAAATGTTTTTTTTTAAGTGTCCTAATCCTTCCATACCTCTTTTTGTTTCTCCAGTATGTGGACAAAATGAGTGAAAGCAACAACATGGTTTAACAGACTCTTTTTTTACCACTTATTTATGATGGATTTTCTAAAGCTTTACCTTAAAACAGCCAGGAGAAGTATAGAGGTCGTATTACCGAAGCTTTATATTCAGATGTGTTTCCATTGTAAGGACGTCTGAGTGATATTTACGTCAGTGAAAAGCAAAGTGTGCAGCGTGGAAAACAAGCCAGTCCTTCGTCGGCTGGCCAAAGCAAAGCTGCGTCACAGCATCACTGCATCCCTGAACAACTGTGCCCTCATTTATTAATGCAAACTTCATCAAGAAGTTACTGGAGATCCTCCCATGAAGAATGTTTGTTTGAATGTGTAGAAGCGACTTCTGGAAGTCTGTATTCTGTTACATTAATGGCCTTGTTACACGGTTGTGTCTATAATTGTATTTTCAAGAGGGAGGAGAG